AACAATATCTCTTTAATAAAAAGTTTTTACGACCATGGTTGTATATGCAGTAAATTGCCATACTTTATATTTCTACTGCATTTTCCCGGACACTTTAATACTGTTAGAATTCTTATCACACTTTTCCACTTAAACAAATAAAGTCTCTCTATTAAAATGTTTTGACAACAATGGATTTATATGCGGTAAACTGGCATACTTTATATTTCTTTCACATTCTTCAAGAAATATTAACACTGCTAGAACTCTTATTATTCTTTTAAACTTAAACAAAAATGTCTCTCTTATAAAATGTTTTAACAACAATGGATTTATGTGCCGAAAACTGGCATACTTTATATTTCTTTCACATTCTTCAAGAAATATTAACACTGCTAGAACTCTTATTATTCTTTTAAACTTAAACTAAAATGTCTCTCTTATAAAATGTTTTTACAACAATGGATTTTTGTGCCGAAAACTGCATACTTTATATTTCTTTCATATTTCTCTAGAAATATTAATAGTGCTAGAACTCTCATTATTCTTTTAAAATTAAACTAACAATATCTCTTTAACACAAAGTTTGTACGACCATGGTTGTATATGCGGTAAATTGGCATGCTTTATATTTTTACTGCATACTTCCAGACACTTTAATACCTTTAGAATTCTTATCACTCTTTTAAACTTAAACAAAAATGTCTCTCTTATAAAATGTTTTAACAACAATGGATTTTTATGTGCCGAAAACTGGCATACTTTATATTTCTTTCACATTCTTCAAGAAATATTAACACTGCTAGAACTCTTATTATTCTTTTAAACTTAAACTAAAATGTCTCTCTTATAAAATGTTTTTACAACAATGGATTTGTGCCGAAAACTGCATACTTTATATTTCTTTCACATTTCTCTAGAAATATTAATAGTGCTAGAACTCTTATTATTCTTTTAAAATTTAACTAACAATATCTCTTTAATACAAAGTTTGTACGACCATGGTTGTATATGCGGTAAATTGGCATGCTTTATATTTTTACTGCATTCTTCCATACACTTTAATACCTTTAGAATTCTTATCACTCTTTTAAACTTAAACAAAAATGTCTCTCTTATAAAATGTTTTAACAACAATGGATTTATGTGCCGAAAACTGGCATACTTTATATTTCTTTCACATTCCTCTAGTAATATTAACAGTGCTAGAACTCTTATTATTCTTTTAAACTTAAACTAACAATATCTCTTTAATAAAAAGTTTTTACGACCATGGTTGTGTATGCGGTAAATTGTCATACTTTATATTTCTACTGCATTTTTCCAGACACTTTAATACTGTTAGAATTCTTATGACACTTTTCCACTTAAACAAATAAAGTCTCTCTATTAAAATGTTTTGACAACTATGGATTTATATGCGGTAAACTGACATACTTTATATTTCTCTCACATTCTTCAAGAAATATTAACACTGCAAGAACTCTTATTATTCTTTTAAACTTAAACAAAAATGTCACTCTTATAAAATGTTTTTACAACAATGGATTTGTGTGCCGCAAACTGGCATACTTTATATTTCTTTCACATTCCTATTGTAATATTAAGAGTGCTAGAACTCTCATTATTCTTTTAAACTTAATCTCTTTAATAAAAAGTTTTTACAACCATGGTTGTATATGCGGTAAATTGCCATACTTTATATTTCTACTGCATTTTCCCAGACACTTTAATACTGTTAGAACTCTTATCACTCTTTTCCACTTACACAAATAAAGTCTCTCTATTAAAATGTTTTGACAACAATGGATTTATATACGGTAAACTGGCATACTTTATATTTCTCTCACATTCTTCAAGAAATATTAACACTGCTAGAACTCTTATTATTCTTTTAAACTTAAACAAAAATGTCTCTCTTATAAAATGTTTTTACAACAATGGATTTATGTGCCGAAGACTGCATACTTTATATTTCTTTCACATTCCTCTACAAATATTAATAGTGTTAGAACTCTCATTATTCTTTTAAAATTAAACTAACAATATCTCTTTAATAAAAAGTTTTTACGACCATGGTTGTACATGCGGTAAATTGGCATACTTTATATTTTTACTGCATTCTTCCAGACACTTTAATACCGTTAGAATTCATATCACTCTTTTAAACTTAAACAAACTAAGTTTTTCTAATAAAACGTTTTTACAACAATGGATTTATGTGCTGCAAACTGGCATACTTTATATTTCTTTCACATTCCTATACTAATATTAACAGTGCTAGAACTCTCATTATTCTTTTAAATTCAAACTAACATTATCTCTTTAATAAAAAGTTTTTACAACCATGGTTGTATATGCGGTAAATTGCCATACTTTATATTTCTAGTGCATTTTTCCAGACACTTTAATACTGTTAGAATTCTTATCACACTTTCCACTTAAACAAGCAAAGTCTCTCTATTAAAATGGTTTGACGACAATGGATTTATATGCGGTAAACTGTCATACTTTATATTTCTCTCACATTCTTCAAGAAATATTAACACTGCTAGAACTCTTATTATTCTTTTAAACTTAAACAAAAATGTCTCTCTTATAAAATGTTTTTACAACAATGGATTTATGTGCCGAAAACTGCATACTTTATATTTCTTTCACATTCCTCTAGAAATATTAATAGTGTTAGAACTCTCATTATTCTTTTAAAATTAAACTAACAATATCTCTTTAATAAAAAGTTTTTACGACCATGGTTGTATATGCGGTAAATTGGGATACTTTATATTTTTACTGCATTCTACCAGACACTTTAATACCTTTAGAATTCTTATCACTTTTTTAAACTTAAACAAACAAAGTCTTTCTAATAAAACGTTTTTACAACAATGGATTTATGTGCCGCAAACTGCATACTTTATATTTGTTTTACATTCCTCTAGCAATATTAACAGTGCTAGAACTCTCACTATTCTTTTAAACTTAAACTAACAATATCTCTTTAATAAAAAGTTTTTACGACCATGGTTGTATATGCAGTAAATTGGCATACTTTATATTTCTAGTGCAATCTTCCAGACACTTTAATACCGTTAGAATTCATATCACTCTTTTAAACTTAAACAAACTAAGTTTTTCTAATAAAACGTTTTTACAACAATGGATTTATGTGCTGCAAACTGGCATACTTTATATTTCTTTCACATTCCTATAGTAATATTAACAGTGCTAGAACTCTCATTATTCTTTTAAACTTAAACTAACAATATCTCTTTAATAAAAAGTTTTTACGACCATGGTTGTATATGCGGTAAATTGGCATACTTTATATTTCTACTGCATTTTTCCAGACACTTTAATACTGTTAGAATTCTTATCACACTTTTCCCCTTAAACAAAAAAAAGTCTCTCTATTAAAATGTTTCGACAACAAAGGATTTATATGCGGTAAACTGACATACTTTATATTTCTCTCACATTCTTCAAGAAATATTAACACTGCTAGAACTCTTATTATTCTTTTAAACTTAAACAAAACTGTCACTCTTATAAAATGTTTTTACAACAATGGCTTTTTGTGCCGCAAACTGGCATACTTTATATTTTTTTCACATTCCTATAGTAATATTAAGAGTGCTAGAACTCTCATTATTCTTTTAAACTTAAACTAACATTATCTCTTTAATAAAAAGTTTTTACAACCATGGTTGTATATGCGGTAAATTGCCATACTTTATATTTCTAGTGCATTTTTCCAGACACTTTAATACTGTTAGAATTCTTATCACACTTTCCACTTAAACAAACAAAGTCTCTCTATTAAAATGTTTTAACAACAATGGATTTATGTGCCGCAAACTGCATACTTTATATTTGTTTCACATTCCTCTAGTAATATTAACAGTGCTAGAACTCTCACTATTCTTTTAAACTTAAACTAACAATATCTCTTTAATAAAAAGTTTTTACGACCATGGTTGTATATGCGGTAAATTGGCATACTTTATATTTCTAGTGCATTCTTCCAGACACTTTAATACCGTTAGAATTCATATCACTCTTTTAAACTTAAACAAACTAAGTTTTTCTAATAAAACGTTTTTAAAACAATGGATTTATGTGCTGCAAACTGGCATACTTTATATTTCTTTCACATTCCTATAGTAATATTAACAGTGCTAGAACTCTCATTATTCTTTTAAACTTAAACTAACAATATCTCTTTAATAAAAAGTTTTTACGACCATGGTTGTATATGCGGTAAATTGGCATACTTTATATTTCTAGTGCATTTTTCCAGACACTTTAATGCCCAGTTCAAACGTCGCATTTTACATGCGCCGAATCAAATCTGAGTTTTAGTCGACTAAAATAGTTTTATGCGTAGTTTGATTCAGACGTCGAATTTAATAGTCGCATTTATTATAGTTATGCTTCCACTTTTTCAAGTTTATTCATTTTCTTGTACTAATTTCCTAAAATGGCGGACAGGAAAATGTTGAGTTTGTGCATTTCAAATATGATTCGTGTTAATAGGAGAAGGCGAATATTGATGCATGTTACAGCAAATAAAGTATTAGAAAGGAGGCGGCGGCTTCTGCAAATTTTCCATATTTTGCTACTGTTAATTGGTCAAAAATATGCCTTCATACGTAGCCCTCTTTATCGATCTTGTCGAAGACATGATAGAAATTCCGGCTGGTGGAAGAAAGTTTGGAGTGTTTATTCTGATTTTCGTTTCAAAAAAACATTTCGTGTATCTCGAGGAACCTTTCTTTTCATTTTAAGTCGTATTCGACCTATACTTCAAAAGCAAACTGTTACAGAGGAACCCATTTCTCCGGAGGAAAGACTTGGTATATGCCTTTACAGATTGGGACGAGGAGATTACTTTTACACCATCGCTGAAATGTCAGGAAGAGGAGTATCAACGGTGAGCACCATTGTGCAGCAGGTATGTAAACTTCTCGTTGAATACTTATGGCATGAAACAGTTTCAAAAAACATGCCGAAATGTCAGACTGATTTCGAGAAAAAAATCGTGGACATGGAAGAATTATGGCAATTTCCCTGTAGCTGGGCTGCTTTGGATGGTTGTCATATTCCTATGAAATGCCCCCCCGGTGGTCTTCAAGCGTGCAAAGAATATCATAACTACAAGAATTTTTATTCCATTGTTTTAATGGCCTTGGTTGATTCTAACTACCAATTTGTGTGGGGTAGCTGCGGTTTTCCTGGGAATTCCCATGATGCTATCATCTTCCAGTCTACAAACTTGTGGAATTCAATTCAAGAAGGCATGATACCAAGCATGCACAAACATGTTGACAAAGTTGAAATACCACCATTAATATTGGCTGACTCAGCCTTTCCACTTCGTAACTGGTTAATGAAACCGTACTCAAATGCTGTACTAAGTCCCATACAAAAATACTTCAACTACAGACTAAGTAGAGCACGAATGGTAACCGAATGTGCTTTTGGGCAACTGAAAGGGCGATGGCGAGTGCTCTTAAGGAAAAATGAAGGCAACATGGACCATGTTCACATTTCGGTTCTTGCATGCATGGTTCTTCACAATATTTGTATCATGCGAGGAGATACAATTTCTAAAAAGCTTGACCTGACATTTAACCCTGACAACAACGAGAGAAGAGACAGAGAAGAAGTACGAAAACTGTTGCAAAAGAGAAAATGTAAAAAACCCCAGATGTTTCAAAAGAAGCGAAAAAAATTAGAAATGCACTATCTGATAAATTGTGGACAGAAAAGGAAACTGGGAAAGTTTGTTGACTTAATACTGAAGCAGTATGTTTCATGAGTGGAAGACTTTCACAAATTGGTTAACTTTATTACCTTATTAAAGTGTTTTGTATGCTTGTATGTTATATATTATTTGATGTTAGTTAATGAGATGACACAATTGGTGTCCTGTTGGATATTAATAAACATGAAGACAACTTGATGTGTAGTAGTGATTTGAGCTATTGCATCTTTTCACAACCTACATATTTTGTTTTACAAGCATTTTATGTATTATCCAAGACTAATGCTTTTATGACAATAAAAGATACAATGCTTTTATAAACTTGTTTAACTATTAATAATTTTTAAATACCAATACCATACAAACTGCAATTGACAAACAAAAAACTAAAATATCTTTGACACTAGAATAGAAATGGCATTGATATAATGCAACATAACTGAATGAAAAACTCAACAAAATTAACTGTTTAATAGTTCAAAGTATTTGGTGTTCCTTATGAAGCTCTTCAACTAAAATACCATTGCCATATACAAAAAGTATACAACAAACTACAAATAATCTGAACTGATTAAAGTCTCAATGCTAATCAACTTTGTCTAAACCATTTTTTAAGCAATGAGTAATAGTTATATAATTATAATTTCTCATATATTTTTCCATCATAATAACCTTGAGCTGATGTACATGGTGTGAAACTTGATTGTGTGAAAGATGCAACTGATTGCGGAGGAAATCCTTGTTGACTAAATGTGTTTGAATCATATGTGCCATGGTACTGGCTGTAGTTTGCAACCATTTGTCCATTGTCAAAACTGTGTATATTACCAGAGAGAGGATTTGATTTGCTTGACTGCTGTTGACAATTATCACCACATGTGTTCAACAGCTGAATCAGTTTCAATTCATGTTCCCGTGATTTGTCCATCTCTTCTCGCAAGAAGTTAAGCATTTCTTTTGATGAATCATTGCGTATGGTTTCTTTAATGAGTCCTACTACTTCCACCACAGCATCCTCAAGCTTCTGCTTTGTATTGCATCTTTTCGTTTTTTTAATAGGAACAAAAAGCCTACCATCATCTTTTTCTTCCAAAGATCTTAACGTTTCATCATCATCTAAAGCTTCAGAATTAGATGGACTTGGCGATGCTCCAAAAGTATCTGGCTCTATGGCCAGACCTGGATTACAAGAATCTCTGGTCTTTACTACAGGATACAATGCTTTAAACCAGTCCCCAAGACCACGACTCTCTTAAAAACGTTTGATTCCAGATGCATTTTTAATTGTAAGCGCAGCATGCTTACAGTCACTAACACATTTCTTGAATTTTGTACGTAATTGCTTTAAACTGAACTTTAACTCGCTGCCTCTTGCTAAAGCTCTCTTTTTCAGTTCTCTTAAAATTTCCCCATACATCTCACTATTTCGTTGGCACTTTGTATTTGTGAATATAAGTTTTCTTTTGTAATAATCACTGTTCACAAGGATGTCAATTAAATCATTTACATCATCAGAATTCCAAGTAGACTTACGGCCAGATCTCTTTTTTCTCTTTTCATCAATTTCTTTTAAATCACTATCGTCATTTGACTGATCAAGTATATCATGTTCAAACTCATCATATTCCACACTAAAAAGAAACAAAGTTAAATTAAATTTAACATGATTTACTCATTCAATTTTTTGTAATTAATCAAAATTTCAAACTATCGACCATGCAAAGAACAGTTAATAAATAAAAATGCTCAATGATACTATAAAATACCATAGCATATTTACATACCATAAATGGATTTCATACTTCATAACTTACATACATACCTTTCAGTTAAACCCATAATTTCGCCTTCGGTGCTCTCACAAGAGGACAGTCCAAATGAACGTATGCTCGCCCGAGAAGATGAACTCCTACCACTTTCTTGATCGACTTCCTCACTCCCAATCTTTTCATGAAAACATGCATCGCAACGAGAAACCGCTTGTCCTGCTTTCCAACCAACACTCTCTTCGTCATCTTCAAAAATAGAGCACCTTGCACATATAAATTTTTTGCACTTTAAACAAGTGTATTTTGTTAAACTTGTGCAAGAAATACAAGGGCCATTAGCATCACTCGCTGCCGCCATTTTTTTATAACTTTGCGCATGGCATTTAGCATGGAAATAATTGATTTTTGCTTAGAAATATTTTAAAATAAATTATGCATTAAATTCGGCTCATGTAAATTGCAACGTTTGAATCAACGTCGAATTTTCGTCGCATATTCGACTAACTCAGTCGAATATGCGACTAAAGTCGCATTAAATTAAAATCAGTCGAATTTCATTGATTCAAACGTCGCATTTTACATGCACATAATTCTTGCATTTGATTCGGCGCATGTAAAATGCGACGTTTGAACCGGGCCTAATACTGTTAGAATTCTTATAACACTTTCCACTTAAACAAACAAAGTCTCTCTATTAACATGTTTTGACAACAATGGATTTATAATATGCAGTAAATTGTCATACCTTATATTTCTCTCACATTCTTCAAGAAATATTAACAGTGCTAGAACTCTCACTATTCTTTTAAACTTAAACTAACAATATCTCTTTAATAAAAAGTTTTTACGACCATGGTTGTATATGCAGTAAATTGGCATACTTTATATTTCTAGTGCATTCTTCCAGACACTTTAATACCGTTAGAATTCATATCACTCTTTTAAACTTAAACAAACTAAGTTTTTCTAATAAAACGTTTTTACAACAATGGATTTAAGTGCTGCAAACTGGCATACTTTATATTTCTTTCACATTCCTATAGTAATATTAACAGTGCTAGAACTCTCTTTATTCTTTTAAACTCAAACTAACAATATCTCTTTAATACAAAGTTTGTACGACCATGGTTGTATATGCGGTAAATTGGCATGCTTTATATTTTTACTGGATTCTTTTAGACACTTTAATACCTTTAGAATTTATATCACTCTTTTAAACTTAAACAAAAATGTCTCTCTTATAAAATGTTTTAACAACAATGGATTTATGTGCCGAAAACTGGCATACTTTATATTTCTTTCACATTCCTCTAGTAATATTAACAGTGCTAGAACTCTTATTATTCTTTTAAACTTAAACTAACAATATCTCTTTAATAAAAAGTTTTTACGACCATGGTTGTATATGCGGTAAATTGGCATACTTTATATTTCTACTGCATTTTTCCAGACACTTTAATACTGTTAGAATTCTTATCACACTTTTCCACTTCAACAAATAAAGTCTCTCTATTAAAATGTTTTGACAACAATGGATTTATATGCGGTAAACTGAAATACTTTATATTTCTTTCACATTTTTCAAGAAATATAACACTGCTAGAACTCTTATTATTCTTTTAAACTTAAACAAAAATGTCACTCTTATAAAATGTTTTTACAACAATGGATTTATTTGCCGCAAACTGCATACTTTATATTTCTTTCACATTCCTATAGTAATATTAAGAGTGCTAGAACTCTCATTATTCTTTTAAACTTAAACTAACATTATCTCTTTAATAAAAAGTTTTTACAACCATGGTTGTATATGCGGTAAATTGGCATATTTTATATTTCTACTGCATTTTCCCAGACACTTTAATACTGTTAGAATTCTTATCACACTTTTCCACTTAAACAAACAAAGTCTCTCTATTAAAATGTTTTGACAACAATGGATCAGAATGAGGAAATTATCTATTTACTGTTGCTTTAGCTTGTAGGCGCTTAGAGCGTCTATTTAGATTAGCGGGTGGATTAATGTGATTGGATGGGGTGAAATGCGTAGCCATGGGTTTTGATGTATTGTTAATATGATTAGCGTTATTATTACTAGAGTTTAATGTTGTAGTTTTGGTGTTGTTGTAGTTTTTTTGTCTTTTTTCTTTAGTTGTGAGTATATGTTGGGTATGTCAATATGTCTGTATATTTTTTCGTGGTCTTTACTGTACCAAGCTTCTTTGAATTCGCATGCGTGTTTTGTTAGTGTGCGTCTGAGTACTTTAGTTTCTGTCGTGTCGAATGTGTGATTATTTGCGTGGGCATGTTCTGCAGTTACTGCGTTCGAAACTCGTCGTTTTTGAGGTTTATGTTTAGCTGTAAGTCGCATGTATAAGCCAACAGACGGTACTATTGAAAAAGAACGAAGTATGTTAACTTCGTTTTCTTTTAAGAATTTTTTATGCAGTGCGGTGTTTGAAATTAAATGTAGATATGATCTTCGCACTTTGTTGGACAATTTAAGCAATTGTCTCATGAACCTGAAAAATTCAGGTGAATCAACGGGACTCGAACCCATGACCTCTGCGGTGCCGGTGCAGTGCTCTGACCAACTTAGCTAAGAAATCACACACTGGTGAGCAGGTCAATTTTGTTGGGTTCATGTTTTTTCGTTAAAGGAATGTCATACGAAAGAATTTTTTATGCAGTGCGGTGTTTGAAATTAAATGTAGATATGATCTTCGCACTTTGTTGGACAATTTAAGCAATTGAAAAATTCAGGTGACTCAACGGGATTCGAACCCGTGACCTCTGCGGTGCCGGTTCAGTGCTCTGACCAACTGAGCTATGAAATCACACAGTGGTGAGCAGGTCAATTTTGTTGGGTTCATGTTTTCTCGTTAAAAGAATGTCATACGAAAAAATTTTTTATGCAGTGCAGTGTTTGAAATTAAATGTAGATATGATCTTCGCACTTTGTTAGACAATTTAAGCAATTGTCTCATGAACCTGAAAAATTGAGGTGACTGAACGGGATTCGAAACCATGACATCTGCGGTTCCGGTGCAGTGCTCTGACCAACTGAGCTATGAAATCACACAGTGGTGAGCAGGTCAATCTTGTTGGGTTCATGTTTTCTCGTGAAAGGAATGTCATACGAAAGAATTTTTTAAGCATTTCGGTGTTTGAAATTAAATGTAGATATGATCTTCGCCCTTTGTTGGACAATGTAGGCAATTGAAAAATTCAGGTGACTCAACGGGATTCGAACCCGTGACCTCTGCGGTGCCGGTGCAGTGCTCTGACCAACTGAGCTTTGAAATCACACAGTGGTGAGCAGGTCAATTTTGTCGGGTTAGTGTTTTCTCCTGAAAGGAATGTCATATGAAAGAATTTTTTATGCAGTGCGGTGTTTGAAATTAAATGTAGATATGATCTTCGCACTTTGCTGGGAAATTTAAGCAATTGTCTCATGAACCTGAAAAATTCTGGTGACTCCACGGGATTCGAACCCTTGACCTCTGCGGTGACGGTGCAGTGCTATGACCAACTGAGCTATGAAATTACACAGTGGTGAGCAGGTAAATTTTGTTGGGTTCATGTTCTCTCGTGAAAGGAATGTCATACGAAAGAATTTTTTCATGCAGTGCGGTGTTTGAAAACATGAACCCAACAAAATTGACCAGCCCACCACTGTGTGATTTCATAGCTCAGTTAGTCAGAGCACTGCACCGGCACCGCAGAGGTCATGGGTTCGAATCCCGTTGAGTCACCGGAATTTTTCAGGTTCATGAGACAATTGCTTAAATTGTCTAAACAAAGTGCGAAGATCATATCTACATTTAATTTGTTTTCTTTTGACATTTATATAGGTAGTTTATAATGTTTGGCAGCTTTACCACAATTATCGAGTATGCCAGCTTTGTTATATTTTTTCACAACTCCTTTTAAAAGAAAAAGCATATGCCATTTTGAAAAATTGCCCTGTATTTCCTTTCTTTGCACTGTGCTTAGTAATGGATCTAGCTTAAGTCAAAATAAATTATTAAGTCGTCAAATTAGGACAACCTCTCCCCCTTCTCTGCCTTCTACGTCTATTGGTAAAAGTCATTGACGACTAAACTTACTGATTGTCTTTGATATGTTGTGTAATTTTCTCATGAAAATTCAGTATTTAAAAGTGATATCAACCATTTAAAAGATTTTAACAGAAAATAATAAGATAACTTCGATTTTTCATTACGCCATGTTTGACAATCGCGACATCTCCCGTCACTCGTTATGATCTAAATATGACTTGAACACCGATTATTCACTGCGCAGTAAAGAAAAACACTGTCGCAATGACTAGTGATACACTCTAAATTTCCAAGTGTACAGCAAACACCGTATAGGTGTAAATTTACACAACTTTTGTGTAAACGGACAAATTACACCTCTGCGAGTGTTATGTTACCTTTTGAGGTGTATTTTGTTCCAACAAAAGTGTTAGGTTTACACTGATTTGGTGTAGATCGTATATTACCTATATCTGGTGTAACTTTACACCAGACTTTGATCAATAATCACTATTAATGTGTGTTATAACACAACAATAGTGTCATGCTTCAATGGAAAGTCGGCTTTCGCTTTATGAAAACACTTGTACAAAAATATAAAACATTAAAAGCACTAAATTTCATTTATGGAAAATAATGTACTTGTGTGTTACATGGTTTATTAATTTTCACAATCTGCGAAGTCATATCTCATTCTTACATATTTTCTCGAGAATCCATGTCTATTTATTGTATATACATCCAACGGATGATAGTCTATTAGATCATCATATTTAACCGTCTCAATATTGTTGAGTATTGCTATTTCGTATGAGTGTAGGTTTTTAACATATTTCAATGTATGCATTGTTTACAAATAAAAAATGCATCCCCATTAGCAATGACTATATCTTCGATTATCAAGATACACGGCAGTATTGATTGCTTATACACAAGTGCAGCTCGTTTGTGGTACTTGACTCCATGAATTGATATCCAATTAGCCCTGAAAGTAGACAGTGGTAAACTTTGAGTCACGACAGTCGGTAAATCATTTGCAAGCAAAACAATTGATTTCATAGGAACTTAGTACGGCATATCTTGCATAATATAGTCCCCCCCCCCAATTATCGATTTTCAAGTGTGGCCCAAGGCAGTGAACTCGGTACAAGGTACAACAAACAACGTGTTTAAGATGGCGGAGCAAACCTATATAAATGAGGTGAGAATGTATGCAGTGTACACTATGCAACTTTTCAATATTCTTGATTAAAGGAGGTCAATTAAATGTTTTTGATGTCCAGGAAACTAAAGATGATTGTGTGAGACAAGACAATCCTCAAGACTTAGGACAAGAGAGTGATGAAAAAGGTTAGAAGTAGCACACTGACTCAGCAGTAGAATGTTTTCGCCTTCAGAACAAAAACACAACATTTCTGCTCTTTTGTTTTCTACATTGTCTATAAATTGTAGGTCAACTTTAATTTTGCATAGAACAAGTTTTATGGCGGGAAAAATAATTGTTAATTTCAAATCTTATTTGTATTAGGTATGACAGTTTCCATGCAACAAACCATGGAGATTGAGAAAAATAAAAAAAAATAAGAAAAGGAAAAGAAAGGCAAAGAGAAAAAGCAAGAAGAGAAAAGATAAAAAAGGAAAGATGGATGATGAACAAGAATGTCATTCTGATGACACTATCATCCTGGAGGTTTGTGCTATTCGATGATCAAAAAGGTGAGGACAATTACTTTTTGTACACAGTCAATATTATAATAAAAATAAAAAAAGAGTTTCAAAATTTTAAATACTTACATGTACACCTTTGTCTCTGGAGTGAAAAAATCACAGATACGAGAAAGACTAAGATATTTCTCAGGTGAAATTTCTTTTAGTTCGATAGTTGAACCTGTTGGTATGAAGACACAGTATTGTATTGCAAAAACTTATCCACCATCTTAATATTTAAGAAAACAAACAAATAATCACCTGATCCAGTTTCTTCGACTGGTTTCAAATAGGCATCTTCTTCACACAACCAATAGCACTGAAGACGTTGATGCCCTATTGCCAAAGTCTTGGACAGGTTCTTGAAGTTCTTCATTCCATGAGCCAGTTGTGTAAAATAGTGATGTTTGGCCTCAAATGTCATGCACCACTGACGAACAAGTGGCCCATTCCTATGATAAAGTGCGTGTATGAATTTATAGAAATTCCAGCATTAATCACACAAACATAATAAGTAAAAAGCAGCATTTATACTAGCATATTCTGAACAGCAACACAAAAAAAAACAACATTAATGTCAACATAGCAATGTATTTTCTTTATGGAAACTGCCTAACTTTTCAGTAAAATTTTATGAAAGGTCAGTAAAGGGTGGAAGACACTATATGTCACTATTGAAATACCAATTTGTGCAATAGGGCCTCAGAAAAACATAATTATATTACCTTCTTATTTGAGCAGGATTATAGAATTCAAATTTATAGACAGATTAAGTACCTAATTTACAATTTATTGTGAGCAACTGTAACTTACATGACGATATATGTAAATATGTTGAGAAATGTATATAAATGCATTTACTATTATTGTACATTTTATTTCTGTTGAAACCCCGCAAAACATCAGTAGTAGAACATCAGTAGTAGAACATGATGTAATTATAACAACGATAGTAGTCTTCAAAATTGGAGTCATTAAAATTTTTTTTTTTGTTTTATTTATGCTGGATCCTCTAAACATAATAAGACGAAGAAGCAGATTACCATCTTAAACTTATCCATAGCGGATTTCACTGCATATTTGTCACAATTCGTGATAGCTGGATTAGGGAAACTGCTTGAGGTCAACACATGAAAACCTGTTATTCTTCCTGTCCTTTATTTTTGTATGAACGATTACATCACTATGCTGCATCTTTGTGCAATGAGCATACTTTGAAATATATTATAGCAGATTTACTCATTTAGGAAGTGAGCAATAACACTACGGATAATCATGAAGTTCATCTAATTTCCTTTTGTCTTTAATGAGTTCCGTTCATGTACAGTTCGACGTTTGAGTTAAGCCTAAAAAAATTTTTAAAGGAGTTTTTAACTTGACGTAGAATTTAGTAAAAATTTGACACGTGATATTTTATATTGTTCCTTTCCCAACGCTTGCCAACTGTGGCTACTCACTTGTAGCTCTCTTAATCAATGAAGACATATGGTTAATTTAAGGATGGAACAACCAAATCAATGCTAACTTAAAGTAAACAGACTTAAAATTTAAACATCTACAACTTCCGACTTAGTCAACGCCTATCAAGATGTTCAAATTAAATTCGTTGGAAAATCAAAGCGAATAGATTGTTTGAATCTGAAGCGAATTACGAGTGATTTAACGAGAATTATTTCTTCATGATGATTTGTATTTAACAAGTGAAGGATTTCTTTTATGTAATAAATCAAAAAAATTCCGAAATTAAAAAGTCAATCTGTTTGATTTCTTTGTCCCCCAACACTGGGAACTGGGAAAACTCTCGGTTTTGCAGATATCACGCTTATACGACCTATGGGATTGTAAAAATGCTATTGGATAGCTTAATCACGAGATAATCGTAATTGGCTAACAAAACAACAGGCAAGGGCTGATCAATTTTGTCGAATTTTTTTTATGGAAGACGAAGTACGATTCAATGTTTGAAAACTGGGCTTTTTTATTTCTTTTTGCTCAAATACGTTAACTGCCTCAACTACGTCTTCGTCAATATCTTTCTTTCCATTCAGGGATGAATTGAGGTAAATATTGAAATAAATTTGCCATTTTTTGTCATTAAGAAACAAGATATTTTCTGTAACGTCAATTCCAAGCGTATGTCCTCTTATATATCATAGCTCTCAACCAATGAAATTACCGAATAGCTACAATAGCATGCGCTAAGTAGATGTTTGAGCATTACTTTACATCGATAAATCATAGTAAAAGTTACGATATGTATATTTTTTAAAAAAGAGACATACCAAAATAAACAAAAAGAAAATCTTTCTCCAACTAAATAAAGTTATTTAAATTCTTGAAGCAGAAATTCACCATGTTTATGTGACACAATGGATATACTCTCAAAAAAGTATCATTATTGTAGAATAAATCTTAAACCTCCTGCCATTTATAAAGAGAAAAAGGAACTTTTTGTGTTTTGCAAAAGCCAAGAGAGAATAAACAGCAGAATAAAGAGTACTAACATTAGGAAACAAGCGAATTTGTGAAATGATCCAATCATTGAACTAATACATATTAATTTATTTCTCAGAAAGTGCCTGACAAGTTTTCTTTTTTTACTGAGTTGTGTTCAGTGATTAATTACTGTTTTAATTTTTCTCCCTTTTCCTAAAGATTTATGTTTCTTTATGTATTTATGGAAACAGGTAGAAGCACAGAGGTTACTTACCTGCCTGCTAGTTAGAGCGGACTGTATAAATCTATGGTTTATAGAACATTTCCTTTTGAAAGAAGTTTTGTTCTTTATAAAATGAGTGCACAGCAAAATATTTTACAAATCACTAAAAAATTTAATGACAGGCTACGCAGCCGTTATTAATCCCGATTATTTTTTCTTTGTTTGTGGTGCTCATAAATCCTTTTTTGCAATTTATTTTAAAGAAATGCCAGTCTCGATTTTAAGATCACTAAGTCTTCTTGAAATAAACATATTTGTGTGGAACACTGAAGCTTCTAGTTACTTCTGATATGAACTGAGGGTATTTGACTACGTTATACGACTCAATTCCATTGAAATATCTATCTTTTCGTTCATGACATAGTGATCATTAAATTTCCGATGTATAATCGTTGAAATTTCAATGTCAAAATCTTTTTTATATTTAAAAACGTATATAAATCATGTTAGCAAATGGATCAGTAGATTTTGACATATCTGGAATTATGATAACTGACTGATAAGCGGAGTGACTCGACTGGCTAGACCATTGACTTTCATAATAACTGGAGGGGCTAGGAGGACTGGGGCTATGATGCCAAAAACAAGGAGGCCATTTGAACTAATTCCGCTGCAATGTTTGCTTTGCAGAAAAATAACATTCTCAACCTCCTATAGTAAAGTATATCGAATTCTATAAAAAAAGTGGTATCTTTTTTGGCATTTCTTTTACAATGCCTAATATCGTAGTGTCCATAAGAAGGAACACGTCACTTTCACAGATGAGATATTTGCTTGTTTTGTTTGTTCATCAAATATTCGAAAGCAATTATACTTGAAAGCCATAAAAACCGTAAGATTGCTTTAAAGCTGACTGGAATAACAACATACTGATGTTTTACTGTTTTGTTTATGAAACGCAACATACTTCTCTACATAATTGTTGAGGTATGAAAACGTAGATCTCCCAAATTTACTAATCTAATTAAAAATAGTTTCCTTGACTCAAAAATAACATGCTCTTATTGCTCATTGGGTAGAGAGTATAAAGAAACGGATGGTGTGGGTTACCCAAATAGTACTTATGAATTAGAGCAGAGTTTGCTTTGATCAATTTGTTGGCAATATAAAGAGAAGATCTTTGGTGGTAAAGTGTTTCTAGTATATGGGGCAATACAAGTACCAACACAGTTTCATAGATGAGTATAAAGACAATAGGTGATTGTTATTACAACAAAATGATCGGCCTGACTGTGGTAAATGATTTATACCACAGAAATTTGTGCCATGTCACATATTGTCCTCTTTTCTTACTGAGCACCTCATGTAGAGATGTCAAGGTGTAGTTATCTATGGCTCAAACCAGATTGTTTGCCAGAAATTTCTCAGGGATGTTGATGCAAGGAAAGCATTTCTCTTAAAATAATAATGTCTTCCTAGGTATGCAGATAAGCCTTGAAAATTGGCTAAACAGCAAAGTATTTTTCGTGATCACTAGGGAAATTTTCTGATGATCAATATAATTTCTAAACTAAATTATTTCAGATAAACTAGTTTTGATTATATGAAAGGATTTTTATCATAACCAGTAAGCACGACAGGTGAAACAATTTTAACTTTGATGTAATTATATGATTAAGGGCATGTTGGTTACATTCTGTTTTTATTGGAAAACACAATGCTACTGGCAATTTCTATATAGCCATCTTACGTAAACTTACAGAAGATATTACTCTAGTAAGATGCTTAATAAACATTATTGGCATTAAGCTGTCTTTAATTGAAAATTTTTACTCTGATACTCTTTGCTTAATCTTTGGCAAAAGAAGTTTTGAATTTTTTATCAAAAGGTGAATTTCCTTACACTGTAAGGGGTATTGGGTTAAGGTTTACAATAAAATTGCATGGTTTGAAGTCTGAGCTATTTTACGTCTATGAACTGTCCCTTGTTGTACCTCATTTATAATTGAAATCATTACATAAAGGTGTATGGGGTCTCTAAGTGGGTCTAGGCCTGACACCATGGTAAAAATTGTTATCGATTATATCTGTCTTGGAATTATATCATTGTAAAGTGACATGCAAACGAGATATAACATTCGGCAAAACATTCAAATATTTTTCACTTAAAACTTTTTTTTGAAATAAAACGTAAGGAAAATGTGCTGTTTTTATGCAAAAACAATGCCTACAAAAAAACAATTTGTATTGCTCTAAAATGTTAAAAACAGCGCTTCTAAGGCTTTGAAATCCAAAACTTCCTGGCTGATTATGGCTCCTAACTCACACCACTGTTGAAGGTGATTATGTGACCGTAAAGCAAAATACAGCAAAAGAAAACATGGCAAGAGACACGCAAAGGAATATATGTTTATAAAAACGGCAATTCTTAAAACGGCGAGTGGAGAAAATTCAAAAAACATGGCTAAGGCGCTTATACTTATTCAATTCCCCTATGAGATTGACATTTTATTGAAATTAGAAAATTTGGTTTTACATTTAGTCAAATTTTCTTCCCCAGGGAGACAGAGACTGCGAAATATGCGGAAATTACAAAGACCATAACCAGATATTTTGTTAGTAAAGTTTGACGCAATTCGCCCAAATGTACGTAGTATAAATACTGACAGATTGATCGGGAATGTCCAATATTTTTAGTGGCCAGTCCAAACAATTCCAATCGGGGGAATCCAATTAATTTGTGTGTAAATCCCGCAGTCAAAATGGCGACCAAAT